TATTAATTTTGTTAAATAAAAAATTCTGACCAGAGGGTACTTATGTATTTTAAGCAAATCTCAATAAGTATATTTGTAATTTACCCAAAAATGATGTCGCTTTTGGCACACAACAAATCACATGTTGCTCCAGCGATACTCCGGTGATACTCCAGTGACTTCCTTTACACTTATAAAGTATAGATCTACACTCCTAGAGTATAGATCTGCAGTTTTAGAGTGTAAATTTGATTTTTTATGTTTGAAATAAGGGTTTTGAGAGTTTCTCCCCCGAATTCGGCATAAATGTTTGGATTTTCGACACTTACAATGGTTCCCTCTTCTCTCAAGTATTCTCTTATATCATTGTGGGTGTACTTCCTCTTTAACTCTAGCTTCTGGCAGTGTTCGAAGAATGGCGGCGACGAAGTTGGACAACGGCAACGATGACGGGGACGGGGACGGCGGGTTTTGAGACAGATCTTACTTGGTTTGATGTAGATCTTACTTTTCAGACCACATCTATGAGTAAATCAGCGATTTTTCTTGACTCGTAGCTAATTTTTTGACAGCTTTGATGTTTTTGTTGTTTGTTTGTTTTTTTTTTTTTTTTGTTATATAGTTTGGTTGGCCCTTTGGGGTCTTACTTCTATATGATGTTGTTTTTAATACAAATATTTTCCATATTTCAAAAAACACCCCTCCATTGACAATGATTGGTGACAACCAATTAGCTAAAACAAGAGAGAAATATTTAAAGGAGATTTGGTGATAGATCCCTCAGTATCTAACTTGTCTTTCAAAAGGATAAGAATTATATAGATCATTTCAAAATTCCCTAGTATTTTAAAACTTATTTCTTTTACTATAATACCCTTATACATATATATATATAGATATATGTATGTGTGTGTGTGTGTGATTAATCACTCTCTTTCATCTCAATCTCTCTTCTCTTTGTCTCGCTCTTATCACTATTGCTCTACACCGGCGCCACCGACGCTTACTATGCAACTCTTTCTTTACTGTCTTCATCACCACTGTCACTCGCCGCATCCACAACCTTAGATCTGAGATCATTTACAATTGTCGTCGCCAGAAAATAACGGTTTATGACAGTTCACAAACAGCAGCAGCGGTGGTACGGCGTCTCTATCTTTCTCTCGCGTGAGCTCAGTCAGTCTTAATTGCTCCTTTCTCACTCACTCAGCGAGTGACTTATCATTTATGCGCGCTCTCTCTCTCTCTCTCTCTCTCCTTCTTCTTCTTCTTTCTCGTGATCTTCTGTTTTCGAACTTTGTCTCCCCATATCTCTTTATTCTTCTCATGATGTTCTGTTTTTTGACTAGTAAAATTATACTTTGGTTCATGACACAGCATTCTCCTATAAAGTCATTCTCACAACTTGTTTCAAAGTAAATTTTACTTTGAATCATATTAAACTTTGCTCTGATTCAGAGTAAAATTTTACTCTATAATAAATAAATAAATAAATAAAATTTACTCTGAATCAGAGCAACATTTACTATGATTCAAAGTAAATTTTTATTGTCCTTAAGCAGATCAATATGTTGTTAACCAGAGTAAAATTTTACTGTTACAAAAAATAAAGTATATACCAAATGAACGAATTAGAGTCAAATTTTGCTTTTAGATCTATGAACAAACAAACAAAAAACTATTGATTTTTCATTGTAATATCTCAATTTTTCATTTTTCTGCCAAATCTAAGTTTTCTTTAATCTCAGATCTTAAGTTATTGATTTCAAATATGAGTTTGTAGGTATCAAATATGAGATGGTGGTGGTTTGATGGTAAAAATGGTGGTTGTCGGCCAACGATGATGATAAGCAACGCCAGTAAACAATGAAGATGGTGGAGATGATGAACAACTGTCGAGTTGGTGAAGAGAGAGAGAGAGAGAGTGCTGTAAAAGAAAGAGAAGAAATAGAGGGTATAATGGTCAAATAAAATATTCAAATAACAAATTTTATTCTTCATACACGACTTTATAATCATGAGGGGTTTTGAAAGTATTAAATTTTTTTTTTGTCCCTTTAACGAGAAAAGGAAATTAGGAGGGGTTTATGGCCAAATTTCCCAATATTTAATAGGAATATACTTTGATTTGATTAGGATTTTTGGAAAGAGAGAAAAAAAAAAAAAAGAGAAAAAGAGAAAAACTCAGCCATATTAAAAATAAGTCTCGATTTTTTAGTTTTATTAATTTAAAGCCTAATATTTTAATTTATTATCAATCTAAATCATCTGCCTATTTTTGTTAAATAAAATTAAAAAAATATATATTTTAGTTATTAAAATCATTAGAAACGAGAATTTTAGTCATTATATGTACACTTGCATTGAGTTTGATAATTAAAATATACTTTTTACTTGACAAAAATAGACAAATAGTTTAAATTGAAAACAAATCAAAAAATAAAAATTTAAATTGGCAAATAAAAATTTAAGATTTATTTTGGTAGGGTCAAATCCTAATTTTTTTTCTTGTTGCAATTTTCCTAAATTTTTTCAAATTTAAATATAAACTTGAGAAGTCAAAAAAGCTACCACTAGTTCTGTTTCCATAAAAGCTACCACTAATTCTGTTTCAATACATTTCATTAATGAAAAAAATTACCTTGACATAATAAATAATGTATATCTAATAATCGTGATCGACCTAATTTTTTTTATGAATAATATATATACAGAAAGTCTTATAAAATGAACGATTCAAATTATCGAAATATGACCTGTGATGAGCTTCGCAAGCTCCTCAAATTCTCTCAAACAAACTTGAGAAAAAACTAATCCAATATATTTTAATTTAGCAAATATTTTTTGCATGATGAGGATATCTAAGCATTTATATGTGTGACATTATCGGGTAATAAATGCATGGGTGGGAACACATCAAAAGCACATGCTATTGCCCAATTTTTGCGGAATCCATCCATCCATTGAAGTTCTAAGAAGTCCAATTCAGACTGTTTGCTTTTTTCATTACAGCTTCATAGTTGCATGTATATAAAGATAGAATTGAAGGGGTAAGAAGTTCCTTTGAGTCAATTTATGGAGTTTATGGAGGTCGACCATCAACTTATTTACAAGTTTAAATTATTAAAAATATATTTTATTTATATTTTTAATATGCTTTTTTACATTAGCTAGACTCACTTTCATAAAATAGGATTTATTAACCGTGTAAAATATTTTAAAGTAGAAATAATGTTTGAACACAAGATCTATTTATTGTTCTTAAATCATGTTAAATTGTTAATTATTAGGAAAATTCTAGAGACTTCAAATAAATTACCAAATGTTTTATCAAATCTCTGTGTGGGACCTACATACATATGATTTGTGTGAGTCTCACACCCATGTGAAAGGTGTAGTAGAACATTGGATAATTTATTTGGGATTCCTAACATAACTCTTATTATTAACTCATCTAAATTTTTTTTTTTTTGGATAAATATATTATTTTATTATTTATATTCTCAACAGTATCCAAATGAACACTTTTTCTTTCTCCAACCATACCACCTCTCCAAGACTCTAGAAAATGATACTTGTTAATCAAGTTACTTGCATCCACTCGACACCCAATTTATTTACAGAATAGAGAAATAGCTTGCCATAAGAAGGAAAATGTTTCACCAAAAAAAAATATTGTTTATTACTCTTGAGGAAGATGGGGGAAATCTATCAAAAAGAGCAAGAGTTTAGTCAAATCAAACCTTAAAAATGAAAATATTTCAAGAATATGATCATAGACTTTGGTCTTATAGAGTGTTATATGATTTGATAAACTCATGTTTGGCTCCACTTAACATTTAAGTTGAAATTGTCACATTTGCCAAAGTCAACAAGAATTGTTGAGCATTAGCTATGAGAGGTTTGGTAAAAACTCCCCTTGCAAGTATTCCCAAGTAGAGGAGACTAAGCCTAAAAGTGTAACATGTACATGTAGAAGAAAACTTTTTTCTTTGTTAGGTACAACAAAAGCTAATCAAGTTAATAATAGAAGGCTAATCAAGGATACTGTTAGTAGGTTGAATTATTTGAGTTAGATATGGTGTTTGGTTATATTTTAAAGTGGTATTGGTAAGACAGTAAAAATAAATCAAACTACTCGAGTTCGATTTGTGTTGGCTCATTAAAATCTCATTTAAGATTGTTTCATTAGGCAAACAAGTTATGATCTCATTTAAGATTGTTTCATTAGATAAACAAGTTAAGTTTGAATACAATTTAAAATTTATTTTCATGTCAATCTTAAACAACCTACTATTTGGCTCAATATATAAAATTATATCAAACTATTTGAGCTTGATTTGTGTTCAACTTGATGAAAGTTCATTCAAAATCAGTTCATTATGGAAAAAAATCGAGTATGAACACATTTTAAAACTCTTTAAATTTTTAAATCAAGTTCAAAAACTTACTACTCAGCTTAACTTGGTTTATACTCTTAGATGATAGTTGTGGCCCTTGTGACGATTTTAGTTAAAACCAAAGTAGACTTCAATTATTTTTCTAATGTAGTTATAACGATGACTTTTAATGTGATTAAGATTATTGACAAACTTCATATTTATTTTTATTTGTTTGGAAAATGTTTTGGAGCTTTAATTTGTGAACTCTAATAACTCTAATGTGTAGGTGAAATCCATTTAATGTGATTTTTCTATTTTTTTATTTTTTTGATTTTCCACCTCCCTAGAGCTTAATTAGAACTTTAGTTTTAGAGGATGTGTCATTGTTGTATTTGTTTTGAGGTATATATATGGTAAAATTTCACCAATTTTCCATGTTCACACCAAGAAAAGGATACCTAACCATATTTGTGCGGTTGAAAATCATTTTCAGAGAAGGTAAATTGGTGTGTGTGTGTGTGTGTGTGTGAGAGAGAGAGAGAGAGAATAATGTAGGAAATCTGGCCCAGGGAAGGGGAGAGAAGTGGCAGAGAGTTTTGACAGGTGAAAATGAGGTCAACGAAAGCAAACACAAACATAAACATAAACAAGAAGGTGAGTGGGCCTCTCCCTCAGACCAATTCATTCATTCTCTCTACTACACACAAAACAAATCAAATATATCGGCGCTGTGGTGGAACATTTAACTAGGAGGGGTCGACTAATTGATCGACCACTCAAATCACACCAGTACCACTATTACATACTACATCATTGTGTGTTGGATCAACAATATCTTGTATTTTACCTACCCTAAATAATACAAAGGTAAATTGTGCAATGCCTACTCAGTTTTCCTGAATATGTGCTCAGTAAAACTGTGAGTGTGAAATTGTTATTTCCTTTGATAAATTCAGCTGCTTGTTGGGATTTTTACATCAAATTCTGTGTCGGTTAATAAATAATTTATAAGTGAGAGAATAGAAAAGAAAAGAATGTGTGCCTTTAAAAGAGAGATGCAATTGAACTATGCTCCTGAAACAACTTTGGCAAGAGTACTCTGCAGCGTTGTAACTGAATCCACAGCAGACTTCACAAACCAACTCATCCCCACTTTCAAACGGTGCTCGTCTGTAGGCAATCTCGCCAAGTATGCTATTTTCCTCGCTGCATAAGAACAAATAATAATAATAAAAGTGGTAAGAAGATAAAAATCAAAATGGGAAAGCAAAACCACTGGACAAAAGGAGGGCGGATTTTACCAGTATGACCTATAGGACCTTCCAAGGTTAGCCCCTCCAAGAAACTTGGTGAAATAGCAGCATCATTTCTCCCAAGAGTCATCATCTCACCTAAATTCTGGAATCTGACATCCAAATTGGGCAGGTTAGATAAATTGATGCTTTTTTAAAGGTAATAAAATGTGAGCTTTTTTTTTGAAACACAAGGGACATAATACAAACAAACACTACACAACAATTTTCAGTGGCAGTCACTATCAAATACTCCATAGATGGTAAACATAGAAGAATCGTGGACTTGCCTACATATCATATGTTCATACCATCCATCAGTCAATGTCATGCCCTCAGACCTTGCAAACATGAAGATGTACACAGACATGTGCAGAGAGAGAGAGAGAGAGAGAGAGATCCTATCATCCTGACATTGAACAATAGGATATCATGAATGTTCATGACTACAGCCAGCGAGATTACCCACAAGGGCCACAGCCCATGATACAGAATTAAAAATGCTACTCCAGAACACACACTATAGTATGATACTAAAACAGAAACACACTCTTACCAATAGAAAATTAAACCCCGATTTTGGGGATTATGCCAGGCTTTTCCTGACACATTTTGCAATCACATACTTTTGTAGATTCTAAAGAACAAGGATCACTAAAATATTTAGATGTAAGCTAGTTGTCAACATAGGTTGTGAGCATAAATTGCTTTTGGTTGTCTGAGTATTGTTGATGCATATCAGTATGAGGACACTGATTCACCTTAGGAACCGCCAAAATCTAAGATGCACTGAAACTTAATGCTTGTTTTCTTCGTTTTTTTATCAAGTCTCATGGCCAACAAAAGCAGGCTTTTTACTTTTGTTTCAATATATCTGCACCAACAAACACAACGTACAGAGAATTTTAGAGGCTTTCAAAACATGAATTATGAATATTTTGTTACATATATCTCCTCATTTTTTACGTCATATCTCTTAAATATGGTGTCTAAGTTGGGTTTTCTGACGTGAGTTATTAACATGAGTTGGTATGGAATGTTATGATGTGCATATAAGCACGACTCTATGGACAAAGTTTCAAATTGCTTCCGTTTGGCCCCTTTACTCTGATGAGTTTTTTTGCAATCACATACTTTTGTAGATTCTAAAGAACAAGGATCACTAAAATATTTAGATGTAAGCTAGTTGTCAACATAGGTTGTGAGCATCTCTTTTATCAGAATCTTACGATACGCGATTCAATTCGCAATTTTTGCAAAATCGATACGAATCTAAGAGTGAATCTATTTTGGAAGTGAATCTCTAGTGAATCGCACGATTCATAATCGATTCATGATTCGATTCACTTTTTACGATTCATGCAATTTTTAAAATTATTGTGTCCAACATATTTTTTATTCTATTTTTTCTCCATCTTTTTAGTAAAAATGACATAATACAACTTCTAATAGTGTTTAATACTAAAATAACCAACATATATACATGATTTGTTGTTATTTTAGTGATCATGAAGTTTTTAATAAGATCTAATTAGATTTACTTAGACCCAACACATTTTTAACCTTTCTTCTCATTTTTTTTTTCCTTTAAAAAATCGTAATATATCTTCTAAAGATGTTTAAGATTAAAATTACACTATGAATTATCTATTACTATTTTATTAAATTAAATATTACATGTATGGGGTCAGTTATACTTTTTAGTCAGTTATACTTTTTAAAATAAAAGATTCTAAATGATTATTTCTTATTATTTGTTCACTATTACTTAGAAAAGTATGTATGCTTATTGTCCAAATATCAATATCGTTGTTAATTATTGTTACTTTAGAAATTAATAGTTTGTCTATTTGGTTATTATTTTTATTAAGAATGGTTGATAAGAAATATTTTTTAAAAAAAAAGGTAAGATGGTGATCTTCCATAAGAACGTTTGTTAACTTCTTACTTATTAAACTACGTAATTATCATTCAAAATAACATTTTTATTTATTTAAGTCTAAATATTTTATATTCATAAGATATATTTAACATCTAAATGTGTAAATATATGTTTTAAAATAATTTAGAAGAAGTGACCGAATCTTTACGATTCACGATTCGATTCGATTCGCGATTTGGTACAAGACCATTTCGATTCACGATACGAATCCCGATTTGACAACTATGTTTTTTTTTCCTTTAAAAAATCGTAATATATCTTCTAAAGATGTTTAAGATTAAAATTACACTATGAATTATCTATTACTATTTTATTAAATTAAATATTACATGTATGGGGTCAGTTATACTTTTTAAAATATTTTAGGTTTTAAAAAAAAAGATTCTAAATGATTATTTCTTATTATTTGTTCACTATTACTTAGAAAAATATGTATGCTTATTGTCCAAATATCAATATCGTTGTTAATTATTGTTACTTTAGAAATTAATAATTTGTCTATTTGGTTATTATTTTTATTAAGAATGGTTGATAAGAAATATTTTTTTTAAAAAAAGGTAAGATGGTGATCTTCCATAAGAACGTTTGTTAACTTCTTACTTATTAAACTACGTAATTATCATTCAAAATAACATTTTTATTTATTTAAGTCTAAATATTTTATATTCATAAGATATATTTAACATCTAAATGTGTAAATATATGTTTTAAAATAATTTAGAAGAAGTGACCGAATCTTTACGATTCACGATTCGATTCGATTCGCGATTTGGTACAAGACCATTTCGATTCACGATACGAATCCCGATTTGACAACTATGGTGAGCATAAATTGCTTTTGGTTGTCTGAGTATTGTTGATGCATATCAGTATGAGGATACTGATTCACCTTAGGAACCGCCAAAATCTAAGATGCATTGAAACTTAATGCTTGTTTTCTTCGTTTTTTTATCAAGTCTCATGGCCAACAAAAGCAGGCTTTTTACTTTTGTTTCAATATATCTGCACCAACAAACACAACGTACAGAGAATTTTAGAGGCTTTCAAAACTTGAATTATGAATATTTTGTTACATATATCTCCTCATTTTTTACGTCATATCTCTTAAATATGGTGTCTAAGTTGGGTAATACATTCTTTTAACTAATCTGAACTCAGTCCTGATTTCAAATTTCTAAAGCAGCAAAATAAAATGATGTAGATGTATAGTACATGACAAATAAAGATGACTATAAATGAGGGATGTCAAAAGATGCCTCATCTTTTGTCGAAAACGAGAGACACTGCATTGTTTGATCTTGATATTAGACCAATATCAACCCATTACCCATTCTGCAAGAACACTACAACCCGGTGCAGCAAAACCAGTGTTCCACTTTAGTGTCACCAGTAACAAATCACAAGTGTGCTCGTTAATTTCTTTGTACATATATGTATATATATATATATATATATTTTTTTTAGTTCTAATGCATTATTAGTTGCATATGTGCAGATCATCTGATACTGATTCACTTAAACCAAATTACAAAGGGACTTGGTGATAACAAGACCTATACAAACGCGTTAAAAAAAACCATGTTCTAGACACATAAGAGTGATTTAAATAATTTCTCAGACTTGTAACAATAACAAAGTGAAAAACTGTAAACTTAATGATATTGTGAAATGCTTTAGAAGATTATCTTTGAGGAATGTGTTTCAGTTCCAAACCTAAATGGCATCAAAGGTCGGTCATTGATTGCAGCCCAAAGATTCCAACCAGTAAAATCTGCTTGCTGGAAAGCTACCTGAGAAGAATATTACACATCATTGTTAGCCATGAAACAGGTAACAAATTACATCCACGGACGCATGGAAGATATCAAGAAAAGTTCCATTTAATATTGACAAAAATGCACAAGGTCTCACAATACTAGCAGGACAATTTACTTATTATACCTGTGCTGTGGCTGGAAGTAGTCTCCCATTGGAGTCTCTCAGTGAAGAAGCATCACCAATTGAGAATATGCGTGGATGGCCCTTGACACGGAGAGTATCATCTGTTTCTGCTTGGCCCCTGGCATTAAGAGGAAGCTCATGGGGCTTGTCACAGGATTCTAATAAAGGAAGTAAAGGTTTAGACCCAACAGTCCATAATACTAGATCGGCTTCCAGTGTTTGATTTTGTAAGCCTTTTTTAGCAGGCTCCAGCTCCAGAATTAGTCTTTCAGAATCATGAGCTTCTGCAATGTGCACCACTCCAACATTCTTTTTGAAATCACTAGCTCTTGATATAGAGCAGACAAAATAACCCAATAAAAGTTGAACCTTTCTGGATGAAAGAACCTGGCAAAAAAAAGCAAGCAGTGCTGTAAATTTGAGAAATAGTGGTGTGTAGCTATTAACATAACACGTTCAATGTAGATGTTGATGGCAATAGAAATCGTCAACAGGAAACAGGAATATCTCAGAGTTACAAGGCATTCTAATGTGAGGCGGAGAGGGCCTATATGCATCCAGGAGGCTGGTTTAGTTTTGTGGCCCTAGAACATAAACAAAATCATGATATTCTATGGTAGATGGTTAGTGAAATGTTATGAGAGATTGACAATTCCTCAAATGATCTAAATTTTCACAATAGTTAAATTTTGTTGTGATTTGTTTTCCCTTTGTCAAGACCAGAGATCAACTAGAAGACAATCTTGATTAATGGAGTATCTAGTGTTCTGTTCAACTCAGTTCTTGACAAGTTAGGCATTCAAAATCTCTTTGTTTGATCAACAACAAAAATTTGTCAGCACCAAAAAACTCTATGTGTCACACACCGACAACCAATCTCTAGCTAACAAAAACAGTGGAATCCCTTTAAAGATGGAGTCACTGAAGCCCAAAATGAAAATAAGTGACAAACTTTCTCCCACAAAAACTCCACATCCCGAGATATATCATCGATAACCCGTGCATTCCTTTCCAATCACAAAACCCAAAAAGTTGCAAAGGCGGGTACAATACCAAAGCACTTTAACCCTCCTCGATCCTCCCAAAGCGCAAAAGTCAATTAGAAGCATATGTCCACTACCTTTTGGGGCCACCCACATAACATTCCTCAAAAGAAACAATCTATGCCATAAGCTCAAAGCCACTAGACAATGCAAAAATAAGTGATCCATTGATTCACCATCCTTACAACACATAATGCACCATTGAGGATTTAGAACTCATTAGGTCTCCTTCTTTGTAGTGTATCATTTGTCAAAATGCCTCCATGAACCAAAGACCACATGAACACCTTCACCTTAAGAGGAATGCAAGCCTTCCAAATTCTTTTACAAAAAGGAAAATAAGGAATTTGAGGATTATCAATGATTTTGTTAAAAAATGACTTACAAGAAAAGATACCCTCCATAAGAGGAAACAAAGAAAAATGATCAAGCCTTGAGAATAAAGATGTCAACTCTACTACCTCTCTATCATTGAGAGATTTCTAGAATTGAAATTCCAAGAAACTGGAGCAAAAAAGGAACAAGTCATGGAAGCAATAGAACAATTGTGAGACTGAGCCAATCTATATAAATGTGAAAAATCTGAGGCAAAAGAAGAGGATCCCATCCAATCATCCTCCCAAAAACAAACATGCTCCCCATTACCCACTCTCACTGAAAGATAACAAGACCAAAGTGAATAAATGTGAGAAATTGACTTGCAAGGAGCACGACAGGTACCCTTCATAACCAACTTTGAACCCCTACCATTATCTTAAGTCCCATACTTGCTTCTAATAACAGCATGCCACAGCGAATCACTCTCATCTGGAAACCTCCATAACCACTTGCTAAGTAAAGCCAAGTTCCTAGCCAAAATATTACCAATCGCCAATCTCATTGATTGCAGCCCAAAGACCCCCGGGGCGCCTCTCTCCTCTCTTCTTTGGTAGTGACACTAACTTCCAACTCACCGAATGATCCTTCTTACCCTTATCCTTACCTTCCTAGAGGAAATCCCTCATCGGTTTTTCAACTGACCTCGCCACCTTCACTTTTTGAATAAAAATAAAAGATAAATGGGAATACTGCTCAAACTGTTTCAACCAAAGTATACTTCCCTTCACGCAAGAGTAAAGCTTTGCTCCACCCATCCAACCTCTTGCCAATCTTTCCACAACAGGATTCCAAAAAATATCACTTCTAAGATTAACCCCCAGAAGGAGTCCCAGGTATTTAAACAGAAATGTCTCAATACCACATCATAGAAATGAGGCCAATCTCTAAAGCTAATAATGATTCAGGTTAATTCCAACTATGCTACATTTTTCCAAGTTAACCTTCTTGAGAGTACCCCAAAAAGTCTCAATAATGAAAAAGTTTGACTATTTGCCTCTCTTCCCCCGCGGAAAATAAGATGGTATCATCCGTATACTGCCAATGAGTCACACTAACTCTTTCTCTCCCAACCTCTAATCCCTCAAAAACTCTAGCTCTGTCAACCATTCTACCTAACACATCGGCCACCAAAATGAAAAGAAAAAAGGATAATGGATCCCCTTGTCTTAGTCCTTGCGTCGCCCTAAACCTTTCCCTTGGTTTCCCATTAACTACCACCGACATATTACACGTTGACAAACATCCCTTATTCCAGGATCTCCATTGCTCACCATAATCCTTCATTTCCATTACAAAATCTAGAAACTGTCAATTCACATGATCGTATGCTTTCTCGAAATTGATCTTGAAAATAAGTCCCTCATTCCCTAGACTTTATATTCCTCCTCCACCTCATTTGCGACCAAAACCACATCTAAAATATGTATTCCTTTCACGAAAGCCCCTTGTGCCATAGACACTATATCATTCAAAGATGTTCGTAGCCTTTTCGATAATACCTTTCCCAAAATCTTATAAAGTGAAGTAACGAAACTAATAGGCCTAAAGTCACCAATTCTAACAACATTTAGTTTCTTTGGAATTAGACATATAAAACTAGCATTTGAACTCAGATTAATACCCCCCGACTCATGAAATTCCGTGAAAACTCCCAACAAATCCCTTTTCACCACCTCTCAGCAATCCTGAAAAACTGCCATGGTAAAACCATCCGGACCTAGAGCTTTGTCTTTCTCACCATCAAAGACTGCCTCTCGAATTTCCATCTCATCAAAAGGCCTTTCTAGCCAACTTGCACTTTCCTAATCAATAGCTCCCTACTCTAGTCCTACAATTCCTGGTCTACTTATCTCCTCCTTCAAATACAATTTAGAATAAAAATTAAAAACTCCATTGACTATCTGGTCCTCCCTTTCCACAACAACCCCCAGGCCCACTTCCAATATCTTGATAAACTTCTCCTTTCTTTTCCCATCTGCAACCCTATGAAAAATTTGGAACTACCATCCCCTTCAACCCTTTCACCTTTGCCTTTTGAGCCCCAAAAATTTGCTCCCTAAAAACCAACTCTTCCATTTTCAATCTTACCTCAATCCTCTCACATCTTAAAGACTCAACCAAATCTCCCTAAGCCTCTGAGGCATCTACTTCTTCAATTCTACGAAAGACCTTTTTTGAACTCGCCAAATCCCCAAAAACCTTCTTATTCCAACTCTTCACATTCTCCTTGACCAATTTAATTTTCTCATAAATTTAAAACCTTCCCACCTATAACACCTAGCATTAAACCACCATTCCTCAAAATTTCTTTTAAAAGAGTGATGCTCCAACCACATATTCTCAAATCTAAAAAGCAACGGTCCCCACTTTAATGGGCAGCTCTCAATCAGAAAGGGACAATGATCAGAAACTAATCTCAGTAGTGTCTCCTACCTTAAATTGGGAAATACCCCTTCCCACCCTAAAGAAAATATTTGTTCGACTTTGTGTGTGTGTGTGTATTTGTTTGCTATTTATCTTTATTTTTTATATTAGACTTCAATAATTTTAGTTTTCACAGTCTAAGCAGCTCTCAAATCTGTCTCATGTCACAATGCTTTTCTATTCCTTTCTCACATGAGCCACAATAAACATCCATGTGATAGTTAAGGTAAAGCAAAGACTTAAACAGAGTAACAAGACTAACCAATTTTACATACTTGCAGTCTTACAGACAAGATTACATATTTATCATCAAAATATCAAAACAGGGTTATAATGATAAATCATAGGCAAGTTGATTTACAGAACTAACCTCTTTAGATAACAAGTTAACTAAAAATACTAAGAAACTACTAGTTCAAGTATCTTAGAGAAAACGCAAGCATTCAGGGGGAAATAGAGCACATTCATGCAAAAACAAGAGGACAGGAATGTTGTCAATAGTGTCATTTAACATCAATAAACTTTCACAACTCATAGAACAAAATTTCTTACTTTCAATGCAGCCTCCCTGTTGCCAGGTGGGGCAGTTGGCAAGATTGTGGTATCCACATTAATCGCTTGTACAATTCCTTTATCTTGTAGTCTCTCTGATACTGTGGCAGCTAACTCAACTCCAGAGTAACCACATCCCACTACTGCCACACGAATTGGATTGTCCTTACCAAAGTACTTCCTCTCCAATGTTCTTAACTTCTCATCTACCTTCTGTGCCACAAGAATGGAAACAAATTTATATGGATGCTAATCCTAGTTTCCCAAAGAATGATTAAATAAAGGAAAATTCTATTCATACATTAAATTCATACAAAAAACTTCAAAAGAATGATGTGACAATGCCATTATTGTAAATCAATGCATCTTGAATGGTGTTTTGCTTTGAAGTGAAAGGTCTACAATGAGCCACATCATTATGTATGAAAATTATGTATAAATTTTTTGTTTGTATAGCATTACTATTAAATAAATCATTTCCTCATGGTCAATTACTAACACATGCATCCTCCAGGGTGGAAAATGGCAATGCAAATTCTGCTGCACCGGGTGCAATGTCAACTTTAGATTCAGCTCCCAAAGCAAGTACCAACCTGACTGCCCAGGTCAAAAATGTAAATTAAGCAGACAATTAAAGTGCACAAATAATTAAGAATATAATTACATAGACACCGATATAGAGATTCAGAAATCATAAACCATACCCTCCATGGATTATCATTGGACTTCTTATTTAGTTAAAATGACTACTTAGATCTTTGACAAACGACATCATCAAGCTCTTAGAAAAATTTATCCTTTCATACAAAAAATACAAATAATAAATAAACAGTTGAATACAGTCATAAAAGTTATACCAGTCATATTCAATAAGAAGCCCACTTTCAAGATGCACAGTTCCTCCACAGCTAGACCTTGTAGGTGCATACATTCCCTCATGATCCAAGGGATGTAAAAGTTTCACCCTGTCTTGGAAAAAAAGCACACTAGTGTTTGCAAGCAAATCTGAGAAACGTGGAGCTATTTCCCATATATCCACTTCTGCATATAAAGAAAAAAATAAATTTATAATATGATCAGGTATACTATTATCAGAGCTCCAATATAACACATACCTCCAGATAAAAGCTCATATAACATTGGCTTGAAAACGAAGCGTTCAGACTGGTCAACAAGAAGTACCTGCTCCCAGTTTCAATAAATATTAATTGCTAGTGAATTTAATGACAGAATTGTAGCCACAGATTATGACACTAAAATGAGCACAGCAAGACAAAGACCAAAGATTAGATATGCAAATTGGAGAGAGAGAAAAAGATGTTAAACTAATGGTGACCAGTAATTATTTTGAGTAGTTAACGGTGCTGAAGGTGATATGGCTAGCAGTTGACTTTATTTGCAAGGGAATGTGGCTGACTCGCACATATAACGAAAGCAAAAGGATGGAAGAGTAGGCTAGTGAATTTCAAAAAATATGTATTTATATATCTATGTGAGTGTGAAGGAATGTTCTTCAATGATCAGAAACCTCATGGAAGGGAGGTATAACATATCCCAAAATAAAAGAAAAGGACGGGTTTCAGTTGTTTATTAGCAGCAACCATATTTATACTTAAAAAAGAAAAAAATATGACTAGCCCAGTTGAAGAGTTGATTACTACAAATAGTAATATATATAAATATATAATTTAGCACATAGCTTACCTGAGGTTTCTTGTTGTCAGGCCATGCAAGGGATTCTAGTCTTAATGCAGTATAGAGACCTCCAAATCCACCTCCCAGTATGCATACCCTTGGTTTCTATAAGCAAAAGTTTTCTGTTAATAAAATATAATATTATTAAACTTGTAAGGTTGTCATCACTACACCATTAAATACATACATCTTATGCACAGCAAACTAAATGGAGAATAAATTTCTACCCATCTACTACAACTAAGATCATACACAAAAGAGGGTAGAGAGAGAAAGAGAATCATAGACAAATGCTCAAGTCAAGAACAAGACAACAAAGTAATCTACAGATGTGCTGTCATCCACATGGATGCATACAAGAGAAATTCATCAGCACAACAGAACCAAAAAACACACACACACACACACACACATAATCTAACTTCCTGTCAATCCTGTAATTATATTACAGGTTATGCTCCAGCAATGGCCCAGATTTATTGATAATGATCATTTTTTCCTCTTGCGTAAATTTTTTAAAATTGTTTAGTGTCATTTAGAAATCACATACCAGCTATTATAAAAGTTTTATGTGCCACATCTTCAAGACTGGGAGGTTATCTTAGGATTTTTCTTTTCACATTCCCTAATTTTGGGTTGGAAGAAATTACAATAATAGGTAGGATCAATTTTGGTTTGTTTCAAGGGAAACAATGGCCTCCAATGTTAAACAATGCTAAATGACAGATTAAGAATCACTACAAAGTTCCACATATCTACACAAAAAATTCCCAACAGGAAATAGCTATAATAAAATTAAAATATATATATATATATATAAAGAACGAAAGAAAGGAAAATTAGTAAACTGGGTCATGATAAATTCTTACTACGACTCAACCAGTACACATTCAACAACCCAAATGTTCAATTCTGTTAAACAGGCCCTCTTCATCTCAAGAGTTATCTAAGTCTTCGAAATAAATTTGACAATGTCCAATTTTCATGTCATCTAGAGGACACAAATAATCACACCACATACATCGCATTATCAACTAAAGCATAAGGAATTATATTTAACACTAAATGTTAAGGACTTTGTTGGAATCCCATAACAGAGAGGGAAAAGAGTAAGGAAAAAAATAATTTGGCAGCTTCATTGATCTGTCACAAAAAGAAGGTCCGAGACTCAGAGAGTTGTAAATCAGTTTCAAACTCTTAACTTGAGCCATACATTGTGTTAGTAGGAAATGTTGTTAAATATGCGCCTGCATTTAAAATAAAAAAAACCCACCTAAATAAATTTACAAATCACATGCACTAAACAGCTTGGAGAATATATATCTATCTATCTTCTATACTATATATATATGTATATAAAAGAACACCTTAATTGGTGTATTGAGGCCTTTTTTTCTCTCTTAAGGCTCCATTTGTTTCGCCGTAAAATATTTCTCTTAAATAATAATTTTGCCCAAAAACAAATTTCTGTTTTTGTTTTTCGGTGTTTGGTTAACATTTAAAATATTTTCTATAACAAAAATCTTCATAAATAACCAATTATAGAATAAACTTTAAAAAGGAAAAGAATAAAAGAAAATAATATTCATACATAATTTTCTTACAGAATTGATCACAAATGATGTGGAAATGACGCTCTTACAATTATAAACTATAATACATGAGAATTTTGAGGATAGCCGGTCCCAAGCCCGGGTTAAGGAGGAGGGTTGTGTGTTAGGTAGCCGACAGCCAACACGTAAAAAAGTCGCTCGGATCCCTTATGAAAATGAATCCTACTTTGAATCGTTTAAATGCTAGGTCGTTCCCCTCAAGTGACGCGTTGCGCCTGCCTCCGGGTGTTTCGAAAAGTGAGCAAGGGGCGCCGCATCGACGCCTGGGTGCGGTGAAAAATGGGCAAAGGTTTCCGCGTTTTTCTGGACGAGCGCGGGTAAAGAAGCTAGTCCAAGACTATAGGTTTAGGATAGCCACTTGGAACATAGGAACCTTAACTGGTAGGACGATGGAATTGGTAGATGTTATGATTAGGAGGAGAGTTAGTATAGCTTGCATACAAGAAACTAAGTAGACGGGAGAGAAAGCTAGGGAAATTGAGGATACTGGTTTTAAACTTTATTATAGTGGTAAGGATAGACGCAAAAATGGGGTAGGAATCGTAATTGCCAAGGGTCTTGTGGAAAGTGTGGTGGCGGTCACTAGGAAAGGAGATAGGATTATGCTAATTAAACTAGTTATTGGAGGGAATATAGTAAATGTTATTAGCGCTTACGCTCCTCAAGTAGGGTTAGATGATCAGACTAAGAGGGATTTTTGGGAGCAAATGGATGAAATCTTACAGGAGATACCCGTAGGAGAGAACCTGGTTATAGGTGGAGATTTTAATGGCCATGTGGGCATAGATAAAGTAGGTTATGAAAGGGTGCATGGTGGATATGGTTTTGGTGACAGAAATGAGGCTGGAGAAAGAATCTTAGATTTTGCGTTGGCTACTGACCTGGTGGTGGCCAATACTATGTATAAGAAGAGGGAGGAGCATTTGATAACCTTTAAGAGTGGATTAGTTAAGAGCCAAATAGATTATTTCTTAGTGAGAAAAGTGGACTGTATAAAATGCAATGATTGTAAGGTGATTCCTGGTGAGAGTCTGGTCTCTCAACATAGGATTTTGGTACTAGATTTATATTTCAGAGGGCAATACCAAGTTAGGAAGGATGGTGGGCGTTGTAGGACAAGATGGTGGGACTTAAAAGGGGAAAAACTAGAAATATTTAAGAATCGAATGGATAAGGAAGGTACTTGGGACTTAGAAGGTGATGCTAACACTATGTGGAATTCGATGGCCAATGGTATGAGGAGAATCTCAAGAGAAGTGCTTGGAGAGTCGAAAGGAACGGGACCCAGCTCTAGGGAAACTTGGTGGTGGAGGGAAGAGGTCCAAGCGGTAGTTAAGGCAAAAAAAAAAATGCTTTAAAAAGTAGCAGAAGGATAGAACTGAGGAAAACCTTAAGAGATATAGATTGGCTAATAAGGAGGTCAAGAAAGTAGTGAGAGAGATTAAGTTGAAAGTTTATGATGACCTATACACTAAACTAGATAGTAAGGAGGGAGAGAAGAGGGTATACAAACTTGCTAAGATACGGGAGAGGAAAACAAGAGATTTTAATCAAGTAAAGTGCATCAAGAGTGAGGATTCTAAGTCTCCTACGGGTATCTCCTGTAAGATCTCATCCATTTGCTCCCAAAAATCCCTCTTAGTCTGATCATCTAACCCTACTTGAGGGGCGTAAGCGCTAATAATGTTCACTATATTCCCTCCAATAACTAATTTAACTAGCATAATCCTATCTCCTTTCCTAATGATCGCCACCACACTTTCCACAAGACCCTTGGCAATTATGATTCCTACCTCATTCTTGCGTCTATCCCTACCACTATAATACAGTTTAAAACCAGTATCCTTAATTTCCCTAGCTTTCTTACCCGTTCACTTAGTTTCTTGTACGCAAGCTATACTAACTCTTCGAGACATAACAGAGGTGTCAGAGAATCAATTTGGGTTTATGCCTGGTAGGTCAACAATGGAAGCGATCTATCTTTTGAGGAGAGTTATAGAAAAGTATAAAGAAAAGAAAAGAGACATTCATATGGTGTTTATCGACCTTGAGAAAGCATATGACAGAGTGCCCCGAGATATAATATGGTGGGCGTTAGAGAAGAAAGGGGTGACAAAAGGCTACATTGACGTGATTAGGGACATGTATGAAGGGGTGGTGACCACTATTAGATCGCCAGCTGGAGAAACAAATGAATTTCCTATCACTGTAGGGTTACACCAAGGATCTACCTTAAGTCCTTATCTTTTTGCTTTAGTTATGAATGAGTTGACGATAAATATTCAGGATGACGTGCCATGGTGTATGCTTTTTGCAGACGATATTGTGTTAGTGGATGAGACTAGAGAAGGAGTTAACACAAAGTTGGAGATTTGGAGAAAAGCTCTTGAATCTAAAGGATTTCGGATAAGCAGAACTAAGTCAGAGTACATGGAGTGTAAATTTAGTAACAGTAACAATGAAAGCAGAGGAGAAGTGAAGATTGAGAACCAAGAATTGCCTAAGAGTGAACAATTTCGTTATTTAGGGTCGATTATCACAACAACGGGAGAGATTGATGCAGATGTGGCCCATAGGATTAAGGCAAGATGGTGTAAGTGGAGAAGTGCGTCTGGGGTATTGTGTGATAAATGAATACCCACTAGACTAAAAGGTAAGTTCTATAGAACGGCTATTAGACCAGCTATGTTGTATGGGACGGAGTGTTGGGCAACCAAGAAACAACATGTAGATAAGATGAGTGTGGCTGAAATGAGAATGTTAAGGTGGATGTGTGGTAAGACTAGACAGGACAGGATTAGGAATGAGTGTATTCGGGAATGGGTAGGAGTAGCACCGATAGAAGATAAGTTGAGAGAGTATCGCTTGAGATGGTTTGGTCATATTCAACGGAGACCAACAGAGGCAGTAGTGAAGAGATACGATGCTGTAACGATAGATGGAAGTGTTAGGGGACGGGGTAGGCCTAGATTAACGTTGACTAGCGTTATAAATAGAGATATGAATCTACTTAATTTGATTAATGAAATGGCCTTTGATAGGGCCGCGTGGAGAAGAAGGATTCATGTAGCTGACCCCATTTGATGGGACTTAAGGCTTGGTTTGGTTTGGTTTGGTTATCATTACTACAAATTAATAAAATAAGGCAATAGGATTGAATGCAACAAGAATAACACCCCCAAAACCTAATTCCAATCAATTGCTCAACCATAACATGTACATATAAATGGAGAGAGAGAGAGAGGGAGCAAAGATGTTGGGTGTGTATAAAAGCAGTAAAGCTTTGATATGTCTGTCAAGTAGTATCGACCATGATGATAAAAATAAATAAACGAATAAATAACTTACGAAATTTATAAACGTGAATCATTTTACCCTTTATGATGAAGAATATTTTACTATTTGGCAAACCAAACAACGGGAAATAGGTAAAATATTTTTGAAATAACATTTTACAGCAAAATAAACAAAACTCAATGTCAAATGGATTTTTGTATCCCTAAATCACCAAAAATACCATCATCAAGTAATTGCCTCCTGTACTGATCAAATTCATATTCAGATTCAAATCAAAATTTATATTTGGCAGATTTAACAGCACAACCAGTATATGTATATAATATAAATGTAAACTAAAAGAAGGGTTCAATTGAACCTTCTTATCAGGCCAAGCATAAGAGCGAGAAGCCCTTTTGCCTTGAGGCAGTTCCACCAGGCCCCCATTCTTCCCTGCTGCGCCCGAAACCACAATCCTCAAACCATTCCTTCGAATGCTTCCAAACAACAATGAATTGCTTCCAAATTTATTCAAAGAACCAGGCAACAATTGCTTCGAAGCTCCTGAAATCCCTATACATAACAAAACAGTTATGAATTTCGATTTTGCTTCTTTTTTCAGTTGATTTCACTGAAAGGCTCATCAATTCACAATATATATATATATACAAAGAAAAGAAACAAACAAACTATAGAAGAAGAACTGACGATTGAAAGGAGTGAGTGTTGCTGAGGCAAACAATACAGTGTGTGCCATTAGAGAACAAAGCACCGCCACGACGACCTCTCTCTGCGATAATACAGTTGGAATTGTTCTTGTTGCGGAGATTAGTAGAATAGAAACTCCAAAGAGAGAGGGAGAGAGAGCGCGACGTAGCAACACATCGGCCTTTAATCTCACAGAAAGTCCGTTTTCGGCTGTCCTAGACAGATCTCCGGCCCACGTAGACTTCCCAATAGGCCCATTTGGTTCGATAGGCCCGTGGTTTTTATTATGGTTGGTTTGGTTACGCTCCAACCTCATTTTTGTTTGGACCGAAAATGATTTTCATCATTCCCAGACAGACAGACGTCGCCTCGCGTCTAAGGGCGAGCATGGTCCGGATTGGATTTGATTGAATTGGAGTAAAATCAGAACTAATTCGTTATTTACAAATCTTAAAAAATTGATATCAATCCAATCTGTTTAAATCGAGGAATCAATCCGAACCAATCCATTTAAATACGGATTGGATCGGTTTAGGACCACGAATTTATATAATTAAATAACAAAAATATATATATATAACACTTTATTTTCATAAAAATATAAATATAGCACCATATTAGTTTCACAATAGCAATATGTCTTTTCATAATAGCGACAAACTGTTCTAGAATTTAAACAACCATAAAGAAACTAGTTCCACCATAAGTATTTAGACCATTACAAATTAACACTAAAAACTAGCAAACAAAAGTAATAAAAGAAGATACTATGCAAGTTTAGATTTGGATTAAGTTTTATATGAAATAAAAATATAGACTATTTGTATACGGTCCGGATCGGTTCCAATCCGGAACCGTGGGATTCAATCAAGAACCAATCCGTGAACTATGGATTTTTAATTTTTCAATCCGGAACCGAACCACGGATTCAAAAAATCAATCCAAACCTACTGGATTGGACTGGACTGGATCGGATTACGGATTTCACGGATTCCTTGCTCAGTCCTACTCGCGTCCTTAAATTTTGTCTAAAAAATAAGATTTCAAAATAATTTTAACTTTAAATTTTTATTTGTTTCAATGTAAAATATTTTGCATAAATTTTTTTTTTTAATTTTTTCGCATTTGATTGACATTTTTAAAAAAAAATTTATTGTCTGGAAAAGAAATTTTAATTCAATACAATATCATTTATGACTTTTGAGTGAGTTAAGATATTTATTTGAAAATGCGAAATATGTTGAAAATGTAGTGAGTGAGAATCAACTTTATAAAAATTGACTTATAATTTTTTAAAATAAGTCATTTTTAGGAAAATTATATAAAAATATTTTACTTGCTTTTTGTTTAACCAAACAACAAAGAAACAAAGCCCAAGTTGTGTTTGGTTAATTATCTCGGTCTTATGTTATGTTTGGTTTGTTAAAATAAATTTGAATAGAATAATCATTTCATCATAATGTCCATTTTCATCTTTGATTTACTAAAAAACATTACAAACGAACTTAGTATTCATCATTGTGAGGAATAGTAATTTAATACAAAGGTTAAGAAATAACCGCTTCATTCCATTCAATTCAATTTAATTTCATTTTAGTGAACCAAACACTATATTATAATATTAGTAGCTTAAAAATGAAGGTTTTAAATAAACAATTGAATTATTTAAAAATAATAAATGGTTGCTTGCCAAATGTATGAATTATTTATAACGAGTTACAATTGCTTTGGAGATATAATTTTTTTTTTTAAATTGAAGTTAATAAAATTTTATAATTTAATTTATTACGTCGGGAAAAAGTGTGAATAAATTAATAATGTTAATGATCGAAAATATTTAAAATTTATCTCAATGATTATGATTAATGTCAATTTCAATGACTATGATTTATGTCAATTATAAAAGTCATATGAAATTGTTCAAGAAATATTATATTGGGCTTTGATAGAGCACCAAGGATCCTCTAGAGTGAAATGTGACTTGCCAATAAATCTCAACCATACACTGTAGCACTTTAGAAAACTTTAGGAAAAAATCACTCTAGAGGATCCTTGCTCTTGATAGAGACCCCTCTAATCACCACTCCCACCACCCCCACACACACTTGGCGGGTGGTGATTGGAGGAGAAGGGAAAAAAAAAGAAAAAAAGAAAAACTGGCCAATCAGGTTGACAGGAGGTCAAAGGGGTGGGGAGAAAGGGGTTCTGGAACATTTTTCTATTATATTATAATTATTGTGAAAAGTAAATTATAATTGATTTACTACTAATACAATAATTTAAAACTGAATGTATCACTTAATATTTTAAGTGATTTTGTGTAGGTATAAGTAAAAATTAAAAATAAATTAAAAATTATTACTATTTTATCAATATATATATTTAAAAAAATATATATAAGAGTTTTTTTTCCATCTTCTTACGAACACAAGTTTTTTCTCCAGGACTATGTATGGCATAAGTCTTTCATATAGGACTTATAAATAATTTTCCCATCTATTTATTATGCTTGGGCTATAAATCACGAGATTTTCCAAATATTTTCCTTATTTTGTTCGATTCTCTTTATCTCAAGTTGAGATCCAAACTATGTTCTAATATTTTCATTTAGATAGTTTTTAGGTTTTTGGCAGTCATGATGTACTACCAATTTTTTGAGATTAGTTAGGTGGATCTCGTCAACAATGGTTTAACATTGTCTATGTTTGGATCACATTGACAGATATTTCAACAAATAAAAGATTAAAATTGAATAAATTATAAAATTTGAATAGATATTTGTATAGATAAGGGGGAAAAAAACATATAAAATGTTGTTCTGTTGATCAGATGATGATAAAGAGGAGATAGAAAATTTGCAATGATAAAAATTGGACAGATAGAAAATTTACGCAAATAAAATTTGGATAGATAAAAAATTTACACATAAAAAAATTGAACAGATAGAAAATAATTTAAACAGATAGTCAAAAAAGTTAACAGATAAAAAAGTCAATAGATAAATTAAGGGGTAAAATTAAAAATAAATTGTCTTTCAAAACAAGTAAAAAGATCTTTCACCAAACTATTTCACAAATGGTGAACCTCTCACCAATAATAAAAAATATACTAGACCTAATGCCTTATACACCCTCTAAATTAGATTTATTACTAATTTTCTCATTTAATTTTAAGATAAATTACACTCATCTTACCTTGAAATTATGATAAAAATAACTACATTTTTAACATTTTTTTTATTTTAAAAACGGTCAAAACAGATTATATTAATAAAGGAAAGAGTACATAAGTTCCGATATAAAACAACCGTAAACAAAAGATCAAGAAAACACCAAATGTGGGTATTAAACTGACCAAAACTAACCAAATACCAAGTGTGGGTAGATATTAAAATAAATAAAGATCAATATACATTTTAATAAGAAAGAGATAATAATATTATTTTTTTATTTATATGATTAACAAATTATTAATGAAAAAAGTAAGGTAAATTATACTCATCTCTTGAAGTTTACAGAAAATATAATTAGGTCCACATATTTGACATAATTATATTGATCTCTCTTAAAGTTTTAATTCACGTGACACTTACTTTTTTCATTAACAATTTGCTAGTCATATAAATGAAAAAATAATGTCATTATCTCTTTCTTATTATAATATATATTTATCTTTAAGATAATGTTAGGGATTTCAAATTTTCTACTAAAAAAATGATCAAATGTCTCACATGGGTGTGGGGTCCAGACATTTTATCATTTATTTGGTAAAACATTTAGGACCTGTAGCATTTTCCTTGATTTTATTACTTCTTTCATAATTATCACAATAAATGAAACCATAAGTACATCCAAGGAAGACGTGATATAAAATAGGACAAGGGGTGCCTGCTGTACAGCAGGCACTGCTGTGTCTATTCCACCCATAGTTTTGCTTTTTTTTTTTTTTTTTAATATAATTTTTCCTTTTTTTTTTTTTTTTATTAGTGTGTGTTGTATGCATGGCACACCCTGCTGTGCTTTAAGCACAGCAGGCACCCCTTGGTCCGTGTAGGGGTGGTTCTCCTTGCACTAAAAAAATCATTAAGTACGTTTCATTTATGAGAAAGCACTCTATTAAATTAGAGTATTATTATTACCATTTCATTAATTATTTTAAACTTTTCATTTCTTTAGATATTATAAATTGTAAAACTCTTAAAATTTATTTTCTTTCCCTAAATAATACCAAAATTATATATTGTATAAACATTTCACTCATTCAGATGCACACCCCACACCTCCTGCACTCTAAAAAGTCTCTCTCTCAAATCCTAACAAAACCCATGACGGTGGAATCTCTCAAAATCAGTGAAAAAAATTTGTGGTGATTAAGAAGTTTTTTCTCTGTTTCATTACGAGGTTTGTTAATATGTTTGATTTTTTTTTCTATTATCTATTTTCATACACGCAACACAATCCACTTTCATACTTCTCTGGTTGATTTTCTGTCATTTATCTATGGCCTCATTGTACTTGTATGCTCTCTATGTGAGTAAAATTAGACAGGATTTCACTCACCAGTTGACCACCGAATGGTGGTCCAACTTCATTTGTTTGTTTGCTTCCACTGCTACTTCAGTTATCTGTTTCCGAATAAATAAGAAATGTTCGGTTATTTGTTTCTAAACAAATAAACAATGTTCGGACCTGTGTTCTCGAATTTCAGTCACATGTTCAGAAGTTCAATCCCAAAAAAATGACGAACAATTTGTATTATTATTATTATTTTATTTAAGAAACTTATTCTTACAAAACCAATTTCTTCTGAGCTAAAAATGCTATTAAATTTATGAAACTCTTCTAAGTTTTTATTGTTGTATCTCTCGTTTCATGGAGTTGTGGTTGTTGAAAAAATTTTCACTCATTGTCATTACCGATTGTCATTGCTAGAGAAATGTATGTAATCAAATGGTTGTCATCGTTGCCGCCAGAATATTGCCATCAAAGGGCCTTTAAGGTTTTGAGGGTGGGTAGGTTTTGAAGGTGAGATTTGGGAAAGATAGATAGGTGGTGATGGAGGTGGATATTCTTATAAACCCTAACTCATGATATAGTGTGTAGGTTTAATTGTGAGATGAGGTGCCCCAAAATTATTGATTAATTTCATTTAAGGTTATTATTGTAATAAACAAAAGAG